GAAACATAAAGAATGGTTTAGCCGGAAAACAAAATGTGTCAATAGTTGGTGTTGGAAGAAGTAGGAAGAAAAGTCACATGATAAGTGGTAGCCATGCTTTCTTTCCAGCACCTAAACTACCTGACATTTTAAACTGGTTCTATTATTGATAAAAGGAAAATAGTGATTGAATGTGCATTTCCAGAAACTACTGTGGATTTCGAGTTAACATTTGTTTAACCCAGTAAGACAGGGATGTCAAACTCAATTTCACTGAGGGCCGCATCAGCATTGCGGTTGCCCTTGGCGGCGCCGGGTGGATGTTGCCAGAGTGGGTGCAGCCTACTGGGTGGGCGTGGATGGAGTGGGTGTGGCCTACTGGGTGGGCATGGCCAGTTCTACATCATTCGCATCAAGGGTGCCTGTGGGGGCCTGGGCAGGAGTGGGACAGATCTGAGGGTCTCTGGCAAAAGGGGGTGGGACCAGGGCAAGTGCCAAGGCATGGTCCACTGGGGCAAGTGCCAAGATGGCCACCACAAAATTGTACATTGGCTCCCGGCTGGCCTGGGCCAGGGCCAAGGCAGTGGGGACCGTTCCCTCACTGTTTCCAGGATGGCTTCGTGGGGCACATGAAACCACTTCGGGGGCCGCATTTGGCCCCGGGGCCTTGTATTTGACATGTCTGCAGTAAGATATTACTGACTACTAACAAAAATCATTTTATTAGTGACACAGAAAAACAATTAAATAATTACATGTTATTTAATTATTCTTTCTACCCTGCCAATCTCACTTAAGTGATATATTCTGGAAATTGATTGAGAATGGTCACATATGCTATTTTAATTACAAATCCAATTAGAAATCAACTTTCATTGAATGGTTTCCCCTGGCATAGCATCTATTTAATGGAAGAAAATTGAACTATAAGGAAGGCTGAGCACTAAAGAGCTTTCAAATTGTGGTGCTGGAGAAGACTGTTGAGAGTCCCTTAGGCTGCAAGGAGATCAAATCAGTCAATCCTAAAGGAAATCAACCTTGACTGTTCTTTGGGAGGACAGATACTGAAACTGAAGCTCAAATATTTTGGCCATCTAATGAGAAGAGAGGACTCATTGGAAAAGACTTTGAATGTTAGGAAAGATAAAAGACAACAGGAGAAAGGAACGGCTGAGGATGAGATGGTTAGATAGTGTCATCCACACAATGAACATGAATTTTGGCAAACTCTCAGAGACAGTGGAAGATGGGAGCCTGGTGTGCTGTGGTCACATAGAGTTGGACAGAATCTAATGACTGAACAACAACAACAAGGGAAGAAGACAAGGATATGTGACTATTGATTTGAGGAGTCCTTGGTGCTCTCTAAGCTTGGTTGTTTTCTTGCAGATATTTCATTATTCAAACTAGATAACAACATCAGTGATAATAATTTGTTGTCTAAGTTCTCCAGTTTTCCTTACTGTCTTGACATGAAATGAAGTGCTGTTATAGAATATTCATAAATATTCTCATTTTAGAGTAATGTCAATAATAGAATATTGCAAAATTATTCCTTTGCTTCTGGAGAAATCTTAGATCAGTCTAGAGATATGATAATCCTATATATTCTTATAAGGTCAAAATTATTGAAAGGATTTGGGATTTGCATTAAGGCTTCAGTATGCATTGTATATATCCTAAATTCTATTTCTAGATAAACCTAGAGAAGTGAAGCTGTTTTTAAACTGCTCCTGTTCTGCTATTATTATTTTTCTGGCATATAATTAAAGTTTCTATGGATCACTAACAAATACAGCTTATACTTGTACTGAACAAAACAGTAGTTGTTCTCCACAAAGGGAGTGTTTCAGTTGTTTTTCTCATTTTTATCTTTCTGAAAACACCTGCTCAGGAGCCCAAAGAGGAAGCCTGTCAGACATGCTTATTTTCATGGAACTTTGCATGTGCTCCAGCAGATAAAATATATCAAACATATTAGATTTACTTTATTTATATTTATTTGAAGGTTCCATGTCTGATTGTTGCCTATCCTCATTTTCTCCTGTTCCCTCATTCCTTTGCTTAAATTCATTTTCCCAAGTATTACAGATTTGTTTCTGAAAATCATTAAGAAATATATTACTGAATGATATATAAATATCTTTAAAATATGCTAAAATGCTGATTGCAGTATTTTCTTTATATCTCTGCTGCTCAATATGCTCTATTTTACTGTTGGTGATTTTGCATTGCAGTTTCTTTTCCCGTCCAGGTTATCAGCTCCTTCTGATGAGTGTAATTTTGGGGGGATCTGAACCAGACATGGGCAACCTGCACCACTTAGGAACTCCCAAAATTCTTTTCTGAAAGAAGGAAACAAACATTGGTGACACACTTTCCTACCATGTAGATGCAGAAGTACACATGGACGATAGTGTACTGTAACATCTAGAAAAAAATGAAACAAAGTTTAAAAAACAATGGAATCCTGTCAGTAATGGTTGAACTATAACTCAGCAACGTCAATAACATGGCTAATGATGAAGAGTAATAGTAGCTGTAGTTAAACAATATTTGGAGGGCTACAAATTTCTTATTACCCTGGTTAGGGCTCCTATATAGTTTTAAAAACTAATATGTCTTCCAAAATTGTGGAGGCAGAAGTGTCAGGTTTGAACCAGGAAGACTTGTCTTTCAAATACTTTGCATGCTCTGATGCTCATAGTTTCTGCCTAATGGGAAGAAGACTGTTTTGTTGGGCATGAATGAGCAATAATAATGCTCTTTGCACATTTAACAGAGGATGTAAATAATAATTATTGGAACAACTGTAAGGAAAACACTGCTTGTTCTTTCCCACATTGGCTAGGAGTTCAGTCAGGAAGAAGCTTTCTTCATTTGTTTATAAACATTATGCATTTGTTTTTCATTTCCTCTTTATTTATGGATGGTCAGCTATACTGTCCAATTCCTCTTGATGGGGGAAAGAAAGAGATCAGGCAGGAGAGATATTTGGGGCAGATTGTTACACTAAGGAAAAATGGAAGTTGGCATAAGAAAGACATTATTTGAATTATTTATATGGCCTCCCAGCTACCAATGGTATCCATTTCCTCTTAAGAAGTGCCTAAATATTGTCAACCTAATCCTTGAGGAACAAAATTAAGGATCAGCCCCCTTATTCAGGTCATGGGCTATATTATTTATTTATAACATTTATTGGCCACCAATCTTACCATAAGGTTACTATGGCCACCTTACAGTCATAATATATATAAATTAAACATAAATTAAAACCAAACATTAAAATCTAAGGACATGTGGGGAGGACAAAGGTCAACTGGCAGAGCTAGGTCTTTAGGCTCTTATGAAAGGATAGGATGGTTGGGGCAACCTCACATGGGGCAAGATGTTCCAAAGGGCAGGAGCAACCACAGAGAAGGCCCTCCTCCTGGACCCCACCAAGCAGAATAATCAGGCTGACAGGACCTGCAGCATGCCTCTTCTTTAGCATAAATGAGATGGGCCAATCCCAGTGGGGTGAAACAGTCCCTCAAGTAACCTGAACCTTTGCCATGAAGGGCTTTAAAGGTGATCCCCAACACTAACATTCAAACATAATGTATGTTATGTTTGAATTAGATCCCAGATATGGGTTCTGTACGTGTTGGGCTTCACCTCCCAGAATTCATAAGTTTTGCCGATATTGGCTAAAAATTACAATTAAAGTTCAAATAACCCTTGATGGAGAACATAGTTTTAGGTGATAATTGTCAACATGATTAGTGTGTAGATTGGGAACCACTAGGGAATTCCAGGGTAGAAAGTAAAAAAAAAAAAAATCCTGAAAGAAGGCAACAGCAAGCTAGTTCTGAACCGTAATTAAAACAACTGCATGGATGTGCCTTTGTGACCAACAGGGTTTGAAATGAACCTTCACTTTTGAGTAATTCAGAAGAAAGAAGATGAGCCACTAACCCAAAAGTACTCAAGGGTAAATCAATTTCAGTTGTGGTAGACATTTCACTAGGGTCAGGATGCACGCTATTTGTGAAACGTAGTCCTCAACCATGGATTATTTGCATTCAGACAATACCGGGAGAAAAGGAAACAAGGTAAGTGTGATAGGATGGGATGGACAAATTCTAGCATTGCCTTGAAAAGGGTATGCTAAGCAGATAGTAAACAGTTCAAACAGCCTGCAATCCTATGCACATTTGCCATCAGCTCACTAAACTCAATCAAATTTGAGTTGATATATACCATATTCCATTATAAAGTTGCATCTAGACTGGAAACGTATTATTGACTCTTTAAAATAGTATAAAAGATTACCTTGATGGAGATAAGCAATATTTGTTACCAAAGCCAGGGGTGAAGGACATTTTAAGACTACAAGAGAACAAAATTATGTGGTAAAAGCTAGAACTGACACCTTTGTAATTCACAAGAGTATTATAAGGGGAAGCAGGAACAGCAAAACCAGAATTTCCAGGTTGTTATTAAAGCTTTCTCAATAAAAGTACTTTTAGTTCTCTTGCAGAGTTGATTTCCTGGTCTTCTCTAACTGGTGGGGTTGACACCTCTGCAACTACGTCCACACAACCCACTTAACTAGGTCAGCTAAAGATCTAGCAACTCGCCCAGAATGCAAAGTTGGGATAAGCTTTTGGGGCTTAATATCTTGAGTAACGCACACCTGTACGTTTATGGTCCAGCAAACTGTATTTCCAGAAAAAATAATTAATTCAGTTAAGTGGTTTGTATGAACTCGACTAGTGTTTCAGCTTTGTACAACGTCAGGCAGACGTCAATCAACTTCCAGTCGGGAAAGTTTTACCCAAGCTCCTGTCCGGATGTGAATCCCAGCATAGCCCCTCGGCCTCTGATCTGGTAAGGAATAGACCGATCTGCCGGAAGGCGAGCCGGGCGACCGCTAGGGGAAGAGAGCGCCGGGCCGCAGCTAGAGGCTTCCTTCGTGTCTTTCCCCGGGTTGCCGTCGTTGCTGCCGCTCGCCTTATTTGTCTAGGAAGGGTATTCTCAGCCCCTCCAAGATGGCCTCGGAGTGGTTGTCAAGGCAACAGTGTGAAAGTCATCAGTGCCATGGAAACCCTTTGCGTGGCCGAATAATATAAATATTTTTTTCGCGAGGAAGGAGCCTGGGGATGAGTGGGCGATGTGCTATTTTCTGACGCTGCAGTGGCAGCGGATGGGAGGGGGCTCCCCGGCGGCGAGGGAAGGGGGGCCCGATAAAATTAGCTCAGCATGGAGGGGAGGAAGAGTTTCGGGAGCGGCTGGGCTTGCCCTTGGGATGGGAGCCCGAGGACCCGCCGGGTCTGCCTTTGCATCTCCGAGTCCCAAAGGCCACTAGCTGCGCACAGGTAAGAGGGCTTCGGGTGCTTGGGCTTGTCGTGCTGCGGCTCCCGGCTCCCTCCATCTCCATACTGGGCAAAAGCTGCCCGTCCCTGTCCCAAGAGCAGGCACGTCTGCTACAGCAGCAAGCGGCCCTGAGGGTAACTGTTCCTGCAAACAGCTCTGGCTGGGCCAGGTGGCTGTGGCTTCCTTTTCCAGTCTTTGGTGCCGCAGAGCAAAACGCGGTGAACGGGGAGGCAAAATGCGGGTGTGTGTGTGATGGGATGGGATTTGAAGTCTGGAAGGCACTGGTTGACGATTGCCTGTGTATCTGGAAGGATAGTTTGGTTTTATAGACAGGTAACCCATTTAGGAAGTCAATGCTGGAAAGAAGCCATGGACCAGGAGTTGTTTCTGAAATATGTGCCCAAAGCAGGAATGTAGAAAAGTACCAAAATGGATAGCAACCTATTTGCTAGCTGTTCTCATGCAAGAATGCTATATATCTGTTCCAAGAATTTTACAACAGTATGAAGGATCCCACAATTTAACTCTGGAATATTTGAAGACAATCAAAGGTCAACTCTACTTTCTGATCAAATTTTAGTAAAGATTGAATCTTGTGGGCTTTTTCATAAACATTTTTTTATTTTTTTTAAATTGCATTAACAACAAATGGAGTATTTTCCTCATGAAAATTTTCTAGTACTTTGTTGGTTTGTGAATGATATTTTGGGAAACAGTTCCCATCTCTATACAGGTAGTCCTCAACTTACAACCATAATTGAGCCCAAAATTTATTTTGCTAAGTGAGTAATTTGTTCAGTAAGTTTTGCCCCATTTTATGACTTTTTTCACCGCATTTGTTAAGTGAATCACTACAGTTCTTAAACTAGTAACACAGTTGTTAAGTGAATCTGGTTTCCCCATTGACTTGGCTTGTCAGAAGGTTGCAAAAGGTGATCACATGACCCCAGGACACAGCAACCATCATAAATATGAGTCAGTTGTCAAACATCCAAATGTAAATCACATGACCATGGGGATGCTGCAACAATCATAAGTGTGAAAAATGGTCATGTCACTTTTTTCAATGCTGTTGTAACTTTGAACGGTCTCTAAATGAACTGTTGTAAATTGAGGACTACCTGTAATGGGTACAGTAATGACATAATAAATGAATGTGATAAAGACTTGAAATTGATTTTTCATTCTGTCAAAAGAACTACAGGTGACTGTAAAATAATCTGTGGCATATTGTGTTATTGTATGTATTTGGGATTTTTTCCCATTATTTTGAGTGGTACCATATTAGACCATCACTGGCTGAATTTTTACATGCATATCATGTTAAAGAATTTAAACCAGAGTAATATTTCTTTCAAGAACAGAAAAATAATTATAAAACCACAATAATAGCAATCATTGTATCATTTTGTACACATCTGCTCAGATTAAGAGCCTGTCCATATAGAAGTGTATAGATACGTCTTTGCTAAGTGTGAGATCCAGGTTTTACAATAAGAAAAAAAATTATTTCCAACTCATCAATTTTTATAATTGTCAATTATTCTCAATTTTTCAGCACACTGAATAAAAATTTAAGCACACAAATTACAGAAGCCACTAGGATAATAAATGCCTGTCTTCTTTTTGCTTCCTAATTTTGCCTGCTCACTAGTAGTGACTCTCCTGAAGTTTTCTTAACCTGTTTCATGATCCTTTTTTGTTGACATCCACGTGCAAATTCCTTTCTTCCCATCCCAATCACTCATTTTTCTGACATCTATAAACCAACATCTATAAACATCTTCAGGAGTCCAATACAATCATAGTATTGTTTTCCTAATATATATGTGTAGGGAGGAGTAGCCCACCTGCAGCTCTTAACCTAACATCCAAAGGCTTAATTTTTAAAAAAAAACTTCTGCAAATATTTGGCTCAGACTTCTGTCAAGAGCAATGTGTTCCTGTCCTGGCAGATTCCCAGGCGAGGACAAATGAAGAAGGAAAGAGAGAAGAAGAAATGATAATTCATCCATTTTCATCTCCAGTACATCCCATTACCAGAATTGGTTTGCCAAAGATATTCCCTAGAAAGAATAAGGGCTGCCAATTACTGCAAACAGCATTGCATGAGTCCATCTAATACCCCAACCTGACATTCTTTAGATGATTAGGACTACAACACCCAGAATTCCCAACATTGACTGGGAATTTTGAGAACAGCAGTGCCAGTGTCTCTGGCATCAGATAAGGAGGCTGATTTTATCAAATATTAAATGGCAGGAAGATGGGATTGTGCTTTTTAGATGTTCTGTTTTGCAGTTAATAGCTACAGCCAACATGGTGATGCAAAAGCAGGACAGAAGGGTACAGAATTGGAATTACTAGCCTGATTGCCTCCACCCCCATCTTCACCATCCATATTTTTTTAGACATCTTTTAATATTTTGCCCTTTCCCAAAGCGGAAAATTGAACTAAAACTATTTGGTATTTTGCTACCAAATTTCTGAAACAGAAAGTCAGAGGGATTTTACAAAAACAAAAACTAACTTACGCTCAAAAATGTTTTAACAGCTTTCACTGTTCAGTGGTACTTTCGTATATAAAAATACTCTTTATTTTCCTTAAATGTATGAGGGAGACATAGTTACAGAATACCTCAGCAATGTAATGTAAATTTATGTTATAGTGAAGTGTGGTAAAATTGGGGGGGGGTGTTTAGGTACAAGTATTTTGTAGAAAATCTACAGTATCTATAAGGAGTATTATTAATTTCTCTTTTAAGAGAAAATTTGGAAGAGTAATAGGCAAAAGAAAATCAGTGCATGCATATCATCAATTCATCCATTTCTCTACAGGAAGGTCAAATATTCTGTCTTTTTTTAAATCAAATATTATGAGGGATATACAGTAACTGAACTTATATATAAATCTTACTGGAATAGGGTTTCCTATTCTCATAGAACCATGGCAACATGATTACTAACAGCAATAAAGTCTGTTTAACATTTATCCTAGGTTGGAGGAGAAATCTGATTCATTTTTGAATATTTAAAAGGTGGCTAAGATTCTTGGCTTTTCATTTATTTTAATGGCAAAAGCAATTCACTGCATGGGACATTCCAGTATGGCTGCTTCTGCTTTCCCAAACTTCCTGAATTGATTATATGGCCATCCATCATTATGGGAACCAGAAAGCTCTTCAGGAAAGCGGCACATAGCTGTGAGCACATGGGGTATTTCTGCTGTGAAAAAAGAAAATGTTAAGAACTGTAGCCACTTTGTACATTCACAGAAGTAAACCATCCCATATGTGTCTAAACGGAGCTCAAAATTTTTAACTTTCATAACTCTCTAGTTATTTTATTAAAAATACGAAGCAGAGATTTGTCTTGTAAGCAGAAAGAAATGGATCAGATTCACACATTCCTAGGTCCATCTTCATGCAGTTTTATATGACCATACTTAATATTTCTTAACCTAATCTTGTCCAGTCAGCTTGACCAGATCTGAAATTTTGTTTCACAACTTATTCAGTTTGTATTCACTTTTAAATCAATATGTCTTTATCTAGTATTTTTACATTAACTTTAGAAAATGTATTATACTTTCTTTTTTCATATGTGGCATTTTGTACTATTGAGATATGTAGTGTTGTACTAATGAGATCTGACATTATTTCAAATGAAGAATATTCTTTTGCTTTAAATTTCAAATTTTCAGTTTCTCTAAAACTGCTAAAAAACAAAAAGGTCTTTCCAACGGGTTAGCAGAAATACTAAGTTTCTTGACACTGATCAGAGAATAATTCTTTTCCTGTTCCTGTTATGCTGTACACCGTGCATTAGTTTTTAAAGGAAATCATTGGGTTTCATTTTTTTCAGATGGGTAGGAAGTGTCTGGCTGACCATTCTCCTTCTGCCCTGGAGCCTTTATAGGAAAAAACAGAGTCCAGACTAAAATGTTAGCAGAATTACAATGATAATACCTGTAGTGTTGACAGCTTTCACACATGCAGGTTAAGCCTGTATAGACTTGAGTAGGCGGAAGGGAATCAGTAATATATACCACAAAGTTGTTGGAAATGAAATTAGGGAAATAGGCAGTTTTTAAGTTAGATAGATAGATAGACGGACAAAGATATTGAAGCAGGTTGTTCAAACGTACAAGTTGATTGTAAGCTCAGAATGGAAGAGTTGAAGTGGAACAAATTAAATATAGAGGAAAATGCCAGGTAAAGTCCAAGACAAATTTGCTGAACCTATTTCTGAGCAATGTGAAGCAAGAGTAGGTGTGAAGTTGATTATAAATAATTATTTCTGTATATCAAAACAAGAAATGATGGGGAGATTCCAAAAGTTATAGCAAATGAGACAGAGGCAGCAGAATGTAGGCATTTAAAAATATTTTTACTAACTATTCATCAGGCATGGGTTGGACTGCAACTCCAGGAAGAAGATATAAGTGCTATTTACATTTGCTGATATGCTTCAGAATACAAAACTACAACAATGCAGGCCACTTTATTAAACTATATTTTAGCAATATAGAAAAGCTAAGAGCTTATCTTCACTGCAGGGTTATGTAATTTGTTACAAGCAGTTAAAGATAACAGATCACACATATTGAAATACTGTTTCCAGCCAGAAACAGGAGAAATGAAACTTGACTCTCAAAGGGGCACATCTTCAACTGTGCACATTCATAGTGTAAGTTTTGATAAGAGCATATCTGACCTACAACCTTCATCCCTGTAACACAAAGTAATGATGACTCAGTGCTCATAATCAGTTCTAAAATAAAGGGTATGCTTTACCTTGAATTTGTACAGGAAAGGTGACTCATTTTTCTGACAACCTTTGTGGTTGTCCCAAAGGTGCTTTTCAAAAGGCAACTGGACTTTCTTGGGGGGGGGGTTCTTCTTGAAAATGTTTTGCTTATCATCCAAGAAGCTTTTTCTTGAATAAGAAGCGAACTAAAGAAGTTTTTTGGTTGAGAAGTGAAATGTTTTCAAGGGAAAAA